TACACCCTCTACATTAGCTTCCATCTCAATTACATGTACTTTAAATCCGTATTATTTTCGCGATGATTATTTGTAATGGGCGAGGTGTTCCGCGGATGCTTTAATTTGGACAAGAAAAGCAAAATCGCAAAATTTTTATCAAGATAACGAAATGAAACAGGAAGATAAGACATTTTATTCCCCCATTTTGTACACGTGAATAAATTGAAACAAATGAGTGTTTTGTCCGCTTCAGTATGTAAAACAATACTTTTTAAATATAACGTAATATAATTTGCGATGTTGAACGTAAATCCTATATATACGGAGTATCAACAATTTCATAGTTCTAGTATTAAATAAAGTATCATAATTATGATATTTGTAATAATTTTTGTTAATATGACATGTTTACTGGCAGCTTGAATGTTTAAGGTTGCGTTTTCATTGAATGTTGAACACCTTTTACCATTGTTTATGCGCAATATTCATTATCTTAATCAATAAACGTGAAAACATTTATATCGGTCGGCCTCGAGTTATTAAGTTATAATGACAGCGAGTGAGTAGGCAAATAAGATAAATACATATCTTTGTTTCCAGAACATTGACGGCTGAGAAACATTAAGAGTACAAAAAAGTTCTCGAAATAACTGTGTCACGACCCAATTTCGCCGTTACAGAGCGCGCGCGCGTTACAATACAAAAACTATCTATGTACATTGTATATTGATTGTTTTTGTGGTCAACGACCTACGATTAGTAACGAAGAAAGAACAGGAGCAATGTATTCAGTGACCTACAATGTTTTTTCCCTTCCAAGTTGACCTTGAAGCAATAAAATGAACATTAAAACACATCTTGGCGTACAATACGAAAAAAATGTTAATTAAACTGGCTCGATAGGTCACGTGCTGATAACGAGGAAAATGCGTGAAAATATCTTTAAAAAAAAATTCAAAACTAAAGTTTAATCATAAAATTCTATTTTATATCAATTAAGACACAAATTTTGTTGGCCGTTCTCGCGTTATTTTATTTTTATTTTGCCCTGATTATATGAATTCCATTATTTTCATTTTAATATCGAAATCTCTAAATTTTCAAATTCATTGTAACATGGTAACGAGAATCCATTTAACAAGGTCGGCAGGTTCAACGTTATTTTCTATTTTAAGAACTGAACTGAAAAAGAACCACATAATACGGTCACTTAAAACTGTCATGAAACAAAGGCATTGCTAAGATTTCTTCATGTACTATATTGTATAAAGAACATCAAACGGCTAAGTGATTTTGGAAACCTTACATCCCTGGAGGTTGATTTGACGCATGATCTAAGACTATAACCAAGTTTGTCAGAAAGTACTTGACACGGAAAAAGTGTTTTATTGTGATGGAAGCGTCGTAATGGATCAATGCAAGTGGTGATTTTTGTCCTCGTACAATGGAAGGTCATTGACTGCTTTAACACCATAATTAAGCGTCCGAATTTAGTGGACGCGGACGTTAATTAGAATTTAAGCTTTACCGCTGAATTTGTATGAAAGACATAATGGCATTGCTATGGAATTTGGTTATAATGATTATTAGAATGCAATATTTAATTTTGAAGCGTCCAGCAGCATAGGGCCCTGGTTATCTTTCCAGGGAATAAAGGCTCAATAAGTTGCTAGAAAATGACTTCTGTATATAGTAGTACCATATGCGCATAATCTGTATGTTAGGTAATGATTAATATTTTAAAGAACACAATCGGTCAATGTTGGTAATTAATTTATTATTAACCACTGGCAAAATTCATAATCAATGTGATGCTTGCACGTGGTAACATGTGTTAGCGCGTGTCTTCTATTTATAAATGTCTATTACACGTGGGAACACGTGTTGGCGCGTGTTTTCTTTCCATTAAATGCATAAATAAAGGGAAGCAATTATTGACATATTTTTCGAAAGTTGCTAGACACACTTACCTCCCCTGTATTTGAATAACGCATTTGTTTTTTGTGCCCTTAACGGTACAGTATTCATAAATTGATTTATTGTTTTGTATCTTTAAATACGTTTCTTTGACTTTTTGAAGTTACAATAATTTATTAGTTTGCATGGAAGAGAAAATACCACTTTGTTTACGTTTTAAACAAAATTATTTGCAGTCAACGTGGCGAGCATATGACAACTCCTAATCCAAAGAATGGCCAAGGTATTAATTAATTTTCCTTTTATAACAGCTCGAACATATTGAAACTTTGATTAAAAAAAATACGTGTGCTTACAAGGGAAACTGCACATCATTAGGTTGTTTTTTTAAATACATAAGTATAAGGTCGGTTAATAAAACTGTAGGTATCATATTCTAGATAATATCTTCATAATAAAAATTTAATGAGCTAACTTCCGGTTATGTGACAATTATTTAATACTTGTTTGTTATAATGGCGGGCAGAGAATCCATTACATTTAAGTTGATTTCACCCTTCAAGCGTCCCGACTTTTCCAAAATAATTTTCGCAAGATTGATTAAAGTACCCGGTTAGTATTAATTTTTTTAAAATAATAGCACTTTACGCTCGTTTTGGGATAATCTGTGCGGGACCAAAGAATATCAGAACAAGTTCTTAGCTCATGATATTTCCAGATGATTAATGACTACACGTGTTGACACGTGTCAACAATCAATCTAATGGAATATATACGCGCCCATACTCGTGTATTTAATGCGTTTTTAATTATCATTACTCTTATCTTGATTATATCTCTAAGATAATTATTATAATTATCAGAATGTCGATAAAAGCACGTGCACATCTGGTCTGACAGAGGAGAAATCATTCCTGATTGACAATGAAATATGATAGAACCGATTATCTCCCTTTAACAGCATTTACTGCGTTAAAGGAGTAGTATAGCTTTTTGGTTTTTATTGATATTATTTAATTAACATTGCACACATGACTTTCCTAGACAAGAGGTTTTTTTGTCAAACTTTTTTTTGTCGAAAATTATGCCCTTTTAATTAGAAAAAAAAGATCTGTTAGACCTTAAATAGGCGTTACAGGGAAGCTTGTAACATGTCTATTGATTTCATTTAATTAATATGAGAAATTTTAGATACAAGATTAAATACGACATTTCGTAAACGACAGTCATTTTATAAGTTGTTTAGTGCCGTGCTATCGCAATTGTAACATATGTAGTTTTTAAGTATAATGAACAGTTAAGCCTGAGAACGTGTACTTCAAAAGTGCACATCGTGTCTGCTTTGCAACCCAGGGACCATGGGTTCGAGCTGTACTTGGGTCACGACCATGTTTTCCTCAAGTGGCAGCAGTACTTGTTAGCTTCAGGAAGCCGAAGTCTTAAATAAATATGTTCACAAATAAACGTTATCATTCTAGTATACTATATACACGTATAAAGTTTCTTTGATATCATGCCCTTGACATCTTAGATGAAGTTTGATCCAGGTCGCCTTATCAACATATGGTTTGGTAAAATTATATGAATTTATACGCAATTATGATAAACATGGAATTACTAAAAATTCTTCTTTGCATAATTTTAACGACCCAGATATGTTACTCTAAAACACGTGAGTTTATATTTGGTTTGACTATAATGTTTTAATATAATTCATAAATGTTTAGATACATGAGGATGGTGTCGAACTATGAACTATTGATACATTGTATTATAGTTTAAACATTACTTATTTAAGTGTCACTTTCCCCTCACCGCTGTAAGGGTTAAATCCGGCCAGTGACTTTGAATTTCATTCATGTTAGGTAGCTATCTGGCTTAAATGAATGCACGAATGGGCACCTGAGGTTTTCTTCCACCACAAAAGCTGAATAGACACCGTTTGACCTTAAAATGTCCATGTGACTAACAATCCAACACAACAAACACACTGATCTAACCTCGATTGTGCAGAAAAATGTGTAACTTATTTGAACCACTATCGTACATTCTGGAAAGAACCAGTACTGGTGTCGAATGAGGAAACATGGTCGTGACCCAACCATGGTCCCCTTGGTTGAGAAGCAATTTCATTAGCGCCCCCTCATAACACACGCGAACGACTTTGTATTGCAACACCTTGAAATTATTAATGGCAAGTTTTCGGCCTTTTCCGTAATACTTCGCCAAAGGGCGATGGGGGATATGGGTTTTCAAAAATCACCCACAGTGATGTTAACAGGACTATGAAAACATTTGACGCTTTGCAATTCATTTTCCTATTAATTAAGAACATACTCATTTATGCCGGGTCATTACTTCTATCGTCATTGCTTCTCCCCTTAAAGCAATGCAGAACGTGAGGCCTTGTACATGATTAACTCCTAAGATGTGTACAGTTAAAAAAAAACAACTACAAACTTAAATTTGAGCACAGAATGAGTATTAAGAAAGGGGGTTTGTAAAGAAGAAAAACACAAAGAAAAAAGAAGCAATTACATCAGATTTGTTGTTTTTCATGATATAATGGTGGGATTGAAAGGTCGAATTTTTAACACGAGGGAGATTTAAGTATATACAATCTATACTGTAAACCAAGATTGCACAAGTTATTTTATTTCTGGTCCATGTAACATACATACGGCAAACAGCCAAACTTGTCTATAAACATTTCTATCTAGAACACAATTTACACAATTGAATAAATATTGTACTGTTGGAAACAGAAGGAAAAGATATTTGAGCCACGTCACGACAAAACCAACATAATCCGTTTGCGACCCAGCATGAATCCAGACCAGCCTGCGCATATCCACCGCATCTGATTAGGACCATGCTGTTCGCTATCATTTTCCCTAATTGTAAAGGGTTTGTAAGCGAACAGCATGGATCCTGTTCAACTGCGCAGGCTGGTTGGATCCATGCTGGTCGCAAACGCACAACAGTTTTTTTTTTTGTCATGACGCGGAACAATTTTATATTTTATAAAGGGGTTCAAATTTACATGATTTCAGCTCTGTCTCTCGCTCATTACTAGGAGACAATAGGTGCTACAGGAAGGCCCCTAAGTCAGCCATATTTGGGGTTACGCTGATATTGTTGGCTCAACAGTGACAGTGACCCTTGGTAGTCAGGTTCGTGTCCACACTAAGGTATACATGGACAGCACGGTCGGAAAGAATGTGTGGAAGGTAATGCTTCCTCCTCAAGAAGGTGAGCCCCTCTGAAACGATATATTGATATGTCTAAAGTTGTAAACATCTTAACATATCATATAACAATGTTTTAAACATTACCTTCTTTAAAGCTGCATGCATCCAAGTGAGCACAAATATTTCAAGAAAATCAAACTTTAGAGAAGTGTACTAAGATTTTAGGAAAAGTAGAAAGATCCAAGATTAAAGTAATAATTTACCTATTATGAGTGACTTATTGCTAATTTGTCATTATGTATAACTATATTTCTACCTGAGTTACTAACGATCAAGGACATTTTTTGCATATTTTGCCCCCTTTTTGTAATAGACATGAGTTGTAAGTGCCATTGATAATGTTTAAGTTGCTTTCTTTTAGTTACTTTACAATATCATACTTTAAAAGACATTTTCAAAATTTTCATGAAAATAAGCATTAATCTGGGACGTGCTGCTTTAAGATTGTCAAAAATATTCAAGATTCAAGTCATAATTAACATGTTAAATGCGATTAATGACTGATTTTTCCGTATCTATCACCATATTTCTACTGCGTGACTAACGCAGAAAAGGGCTATTTTTGCATATTTTGACCGCTTTTGGTAATTAACAAGGATTGTAAGTGCCGTATGTAATGTGTAAATAACTTTCTTTGTTCACTTCACTTTATTTTAATTAAAACATTTTTAAAAAATTTTCATGAAAAATTCACATATATCTGGAGGGCATGCTGCTTTAACAGTACTAGTATTTGACGACTGGCGATGAATATTTTTTTAAACAATTCTAGCACTACATTGAACCGAATTTGTCACAATATGCACGTTGTAATATTATACGAGGGTTGTCACAAAAGTCCGTGACAAATCCTATAGACCGTTTGTTTTTAACGTCAGTACATAATAATTACATATAACCTTTCAAATAACATTTAATAATTTTCAAAAAATCTACTCTTATACCGATATGCTAGAGTTTCCTATACAGTGTCTTGTATTTTTAATACCATTAAGACGTAAACACAACTTTTCTTATGATGCAAATATAATAAGTGTCTATTAGTAGATTGTACTATTTTGCTAAGAACACATAACCGGCCATATTATACCATATTATAAAAGCGTTATCCGTAGATAAAATAGTTTTTTTTTAAATTTTCTAAATGCTCTATTATTTATGTATACATACCCATTTCATATACTCACACTGATACTGAAGACCTTCAATTCAAGAAGCAACTTTCACCGACGTGTTAAATTTGACGTCACATTAAGCGTAATCAAATTAGCTTGTATAGACATTGCTATTTCCAAACATGTGCCCATTTAAGCGAAATATGTTATTGATACTGTCATACAGCCGAAATTATTTCAAATTGTCTTTTGTATATCCATTTAAATCGTTAATATAATTACATTGTTTAAAACATCAAAAGGTCCTGGTCCAGTGAATATTACCGTGGCAACCGGGAATGAAAGTTTGACAATAACTAATGTAATGTTCGGAGATGTTTGGCTCTGCTCAGGTGAAAGTAACATGCAGTTTACGCTGAGCATGGTAAGTGAACCTTAAGTCCTACAAATGTAAGAGATGCATATTTTAATAAGTGGCAACGGCAGTGCGTTTTTATAAATAATTCACACTTGTGAATAATGATTAGTAGAGTCTTTCAAAATATTCACCATGAACATCTACACACTTTTCCAGCCACAGAATCCATTCAGAAAAAAACAACATTTTGAACTGTTCATAAGGTATACTGTTTATAGACTGATAATGAGCTCTTCCAGCGACACTACAAGTTTCGATCCGGCGACCGCTAAGGCAAGATTTGATGTATGGATTTAACCAAAAGTCTCAAACAGAGAGGCCAGGACTATGAGCGGGATGTAGCAAAACCTCAATTCTCTGTTCCTCTAAATAAGCTTGAACCAAGGCTGACAGGTGCGCAGGTGCATTAGCATGGAGTAAATTGATCATGCGCACCCCGGACCTTGGGTTCTTTGTAATGTAGTGATCATCTACAGCAGTGAGGACATGGTCACGGTAAAATGTTCCTGTGACTATTCCATCACTGTCAAAAATAGAACGTAATAACTATTTTAATGCTCCTACTACGTCGAGCAACAACTTGGCGATCGCTGTTTTTACCTACCCACATTTGTACTGAGTATATTGTCGGGCTCAAAAAGTAAAGACACATTTCATCCTTTGTGACAATGTCTCTTTCAAGCGTCTAGGGTCTCGATCTTTGAACCTAGTTTAATAAGGTTAAACCAAAAGCCCAGTCTAACGGGGGCCCCACTTTCCCTTTTAAATTAACTTTTTGTAAATGGAAAACACAATACGCACTAAAGGGCCCCAAAAATCACTTACCTCCCAACTATATTTTGCCCTTCAAACAACTTTGGCCTGAGGGTTTGGGCATGCGGGGTCTTTTTCAAGGGAGGGGAAACGGCCGCCCGGGCGGGGGGTCATTTTTTTAACAATTTTTATTAACCCTTCCCTTTAAAAATTAACCCACCTAAACTAAACTTTAAACCGTTTTGATTTTCTGATTTGCAAGTCAGTAAATACATAAATAAATCCACGGTCCCAACAACCAAAATTTCCTAACAAAATTTTTAAAAACGCAAAGTATTCTCACTCAAAACTGCTTAAAAAAAACCCCAATTTAAAAGACAGAAAAATTTTTTAAAATAGGCATTTAACGAATTTACAGTGCATTGAAAGTTCAGATTAGTCAATAGAAATATGAGGTTACAATCACAAGTTTCGCGGATGAATATCATTTTAATCAATGAAAATGCTATTTTTAGCTATGTCGATTACTAAATACTCCAGGTCGTAGTACACAAATAAATCTGACTGCCGAGTAGTGGAATATATACACATGTCGGACTGTTTTGGCGAGAAGATTCTCGCTAAATTATTTTTATCAGTGTTAAACAGGTTTATCGTGAACAAAATACCTCGAAATTGATAAGGATTACAAACACGAAATGGAAATTCTCAATTTAGAATTACAATGTATTTGTTTTTATTCAGGCTACATATCATTCGGAACTGTCTCGGCTTTTATCTATAATAACCTCGGAAACAATACGGATTGAAAGTAGTTCGACCACGTGGTTTCAGATGTAAACAGAAACAGAGATAATGTAAAACGAATATATATATTTGACATCTAATGTGTGTCTCGGTACTCTTATATGCTTGAAAATATGTCTGACAACAATTTGCAATTTAAGTATGCCCACAGATGTTCAATTTTAAACAAATCCGACTAAATGTCAACAGGTTGGTTTTTTGTACTTTCGGTTTCTACAACCATAATAATAAATATATAAATAATGTATTATTTGCTATTGTACCTATGAATTCACTTATTTTAGGTGGACTTTTACTACATATATTGGAAATAAACTTGTCAACAACTCCAATCATTAAATTACTATTTGTTTACATGTTTAGTTTCTTAGCGTAGGTTAGACCGAAATACGCATCCGTTCTGTGTATTCATACTATTGTGTTCGAGGTCCTTATCCGAAGACTGACGGAAAGGGCCGAGTAGTTGCGATTTGCTACATATTACGTATTACTTCACCGTGGTGCAGGAGTATCGCGTTCGTATCGCGCTCGTTTAGAGTGTGAGAGGCCTAAGGTTCAAATCCTAGTCGAGGCAACTTTTTTTTTTAAGTGTCTTTTTTAAGGAAGTAGCCACGATATGCAAGGATAAAGTGTGGCTGTCATAAAAAATGATTTTTGATGCAACTCTAGTCATGCAAAATTCCATATGTATCAATCTCAAACTGTTATAGAAAAAAATCTTAACGCAGTCGCTGCGTAAGATGAATTATAGTATATAAAAATAAACTTATATAGGAAAATACATACAGATAGTCAGTATGATTTAGTTTGCAAAGATCAGAAAATACCACAGAGCTTGCAGCCCTTTGATTATTTCTGACGCGCATTTACCCAATAACCCATGAATTTTGCAATCAGCTCTTTGCCTCCCTCTCAAATCATAATGTAACTCAGCTATGTATACAACCAGTATATAAAACCAGATGCATTTAAATGACCTGCTCAAATTTTATTGCACATGCAAATCGTGCGAAAATAGACTGTTGGTATCTTTCCAACAGATTATTATACATTGTACTTTCACGTGCAAAATCATAATTAAATTAAGTTGTTGCTACTAATTTAAATATGCTCCTCGTGTAATCTTATAAAATTTACTGTATATTTTCTTTTTTATTTTACATTTATACAAAACAAATGGGCGAAGCATTACAGAAAAGTTCCCTGTTACTGAAATGAAACATTTTAACAGAGCTAAATATAAAAAATATTACAATATTTGAGGGTTGGAATATTCTTTACTGGAATTAATGGACTTAATTTATATCTACTTCCATGAATACGCTTTGATTCTATATTTCGTGGAAAAGGGACATGGTGCAACAAATGACTCTGATTTTCTTCATTCTTTTCCCTTGATATAATGATATCTAATAATTAGTTTGATACTCAGCAATGTATAATAACACATCTTTATTTCCAATCTCCATTTTTTGACTATTTAATATCGAATACAAAAATAAAACTTAAAATGCGACGGAGTACCAGTACATTTATATTTTGATACTGATGTTCTAGAATGGGAAAATTAAAACTGGGTTAACTTCTGTTAGGGGTCACATGATGTAAACGCTGGAAGTTCATTTGTAACTTTTATAAGGTGTGGGTTAAATAATTTTGTTCCATACAGTGCAGTTTCGCAAGTGTGATATTTATTATAACCTGTATGTCATGTAGAAGGGGTCGAGAATTCAAGGGGTCTCAGTGTCTTATTTGTTTTATTATAAATGTACTTAAACTAAACATTATAATAACATCAATATAACATTACAAATAACTTTATTGCAACTAGAATATTATTACAATGTTTATAGAAAAAAAAACATATATAATAAACATTTATGAAAATGATATCAGACATGGCATGAAAAATAACAATACTATTTCCTGAAGAAGGAAATAGCAGGTTGCACAAACAATAATTTTATGATATTTTCTCTTTATTAGCAAAATCAAAAAACAAACATTGAAATATTATATAGCTCTATTTTCGACTTAAAATTTAATAAAGAATCAAATTTATTAATAGTAGGCCACCTACAGAAATATTAATTAGCGGTTGTCAATGTATCTTATTTTGTAGGTGTTCAATGAAAGCGAGGAAATAGCAGACGCCATCAACTTTCCTGATATAAGACTGTTCACAGCAGCACAGGAATGGTCGAACAATATTGAGTACGATTTACTAGGTGTTGAACAGTATTGGAGTAAGCCAAATAGAGGTAATTTCTGACACGATGTTTTTGTTGGTTTATTGACATGTTTAAGAACATATGTTTTTTCTTATCAGTTCCCATATTATATATCTATCTACATCATTATTTGTGGTAATGATACATACAGTAACTTTAACGACACTGCTTGCCATCTTTAGATTATTCAATATTATAACGATGTTATACATATAATAGCATGTTTTGTAAAACTAAGTCCGTAATTTTATTTATCAATTTTACCACATAATACATGTTTTAGACATTTAACTGTTTAAAACTTTTAGAAGGAAATTAGCACATAATTATCATATTTTTCTAGTGAAGAAGAAAAAGAAGAAGAATTACCGCGATGAAAAATCTTCACATAGAAGTCCAAAATGGGTTAAAGCAACACGTAGCATGCGACATAAAAAAATTATAATTATAATTCTTAGCACAACAATGAAGTCCTGTCTGCCTTAAAAAACAACATTTTTATGAATTTCAGTGTTTTTTTCTGATGCAATTTTATAAGTTTACAAACAATTTCGTTCATCTTGCTCTGTTATATTAGTGTATATTAAAAGTGTATAATATATATATTTTGAACAGATTCAGTAGGGCACTCTGACTGGACCTATTTCTCTGCTGTATGCTGGCTGTATGGGAAATATCTCTACAAGCAGTTACAATACCCTATCGGACTGATTGCCGCCGACTGGAATGCCACATCCGTACAGGCGTGGTCGTCGGAGGATGCGATTAACGCATGCCAGCCTTCAAGGACCGGTAGTCTAGTGCCAGCATATCCTCCTCAAAACACGCCGACGTACCTTTGGAACGCTATGATTCACCCGTTTCTAAATCTTACTATTTATGGAGTTATATGGTACCAAGGTAAAAGGTCAAAGTCGTTACTCAGACTTAATTGATAAAATAGGTTCACGTGATTACTGAATATGTTTTACCTACTAGATTACAAGCTTCCTGTTTAAAGTAATAAGATTTGTCCAGAAGTTAGTTTTTAGAGCTTGAATTACCTAGTAATGGATAACTTTTTGATGACTGCTGTATACTGTCACTTCATTTAAGAATCCATTAACGATTGGAAGAAAAATATCTAACGTCTCTTGTATTTTTTATTAAAATATTTTATAAGGCATTGAAACTGTAATTATATTTATTTGTGCACAGCAACAAAATAGCACTTGAAATAGTGAAACATTCAAGTTCTATCAGTACTACAAGTTTATAACATTGATTTTAATTGGATAATATTGACGTTTCGTTTGAACGCTATTGATGACATCCATCTTAAATAAAGCTGAAATTAGAAATAGGAAAGCACAACAAAAACAGAAGGAAATTATTCTGTGCAGGAAAGGGTGGGTTTATAAATTTTTAAACTAAAGTTTATGAAAGAAATTAACTAAAAATTAAATTTTAAAAACAGAAGACACCTGACTTGTAAAGGGGGATAACTAGTATAAATATGAATATAATGACATGCCAGGGTTGTCTCCCTTCTAATAAACTGCATTGGTTATCCTTGAGCAAATCTATGAAATCCTTACTGGGTTAAAAGAACGAATAAACAATGTTTTGGAAGCTGAGTTTCTCTATTACAGGACACATAAAGTTGGTCTTTTCTTAAAAAAAAGCTGCCAGTTTTATAAAGTGTACAATTTTAGACATGACATATTTACTTTATGTGGAGTTAAAACATGTTTTTTTTATATATTTACAAAGAGACTGTGTAGCAAACATCAATATTTTCTAATATCAAATTTGAGCAAAGTTTGTCTTTAATGAGAAACAAGATAACGTATAAGCATGGTATATTATTTCTAAAAATGACTGCTGCAAATTGAAAGTTTTTAATATTCGTTATAAAATACCTCTGAAAATTTATATGGCCGCCCTTGACTATTGGCTTATGCTTGTTTCTACGGAGCGCTTGAACCTGCCACAACTCTTTATAACTTATATAATCAATGTATCTTTATAAAATACACGGGTTAAAAATATATTTTGTAAAATTAAATAAAATAATGAATTAATGACTCAGAATTCTCCTCAATTTATCATCTGAACTTTCCCATATTATTTCAATTACTAGGTGAATCAGACATCTATTCGCCACCGGATATATATAAATGTAGATTTCCCGCCATGATTGACGACTGGAGAAAAAAGTTTAACGAAGCTTGCCAAACGGATATTCTGTTTCCATTCGGTTCGTTCAGGTCTGATGTTGTTTTTTTAAGAATTGCCCCATCAGGCCCCTAAGACTGATAAAAACATTCAAGATACCATTTTATATGATTCTGTCACGGCCTGATTGCATAACACAGATATTTGAAAATACAATGGATTTTACACAAGATTTAAAGTCCGAATACATACTGATTACCCTTAAAATAGAAAAAAAAGATTATGATCAAATTGCAAGTTTAGCTTCATAGTCGTCTGAATAACAACAAATCACGTAGCTTGAATAAATCTATTCCTTTCTAAAAGAGGATTATATTGTTAGAAAAACTTGATCATATAAAATAATTTCATATGTAAGTATGATTATTTAAATCTGCAAATGATGTAGGGTTCAAAGTTTTAGAAATTTTTAATTTATGCTTCCTGTGATTTTTTAATTTATGTCTGTTAACTTCTGTCGTGTAAGTTGTTTCTTGTATATTACCTTCTTACGTTTACAAGTTCTTTTATCTTTCTTGTAATTTAATTTTTTATGATCTGAACTCTAGTAAGAAATTTGTGTCTATTATGTTAGTTCATTTTATGTCTATTATCTTATTTTGTGTAAGTTATTTAATATTTATACTATGTCTGTTATCTTCTTTCGTGTATGTTGTTTCTTGTCTAACACCTTCTTTAGTGTAAATTTTTTGATGTCTGTTATCTTTTTTAGTGTAAGGTCTTTCATGTCTGTTAGTTTTTTTAGTGTAAATTCTTTTTTGTGTGTTTATTATCTTTTATCCTCTTTCTTGTGAGTTATTTGTGCCTATTATCTAATTTCGTGTACGAGGTATGATCAAAAAGTTCTCCGCCCGATATACTTCTAGCCACTACAAACGATACGTCGATACCGATATCTTATTGAAGATTACTGACCGAAGTACACGCGGTTTAACCAGATTAAGTAACATAAAAGACACTTTGATCAGTAGAGGGGTGTGTCATTTAGACCAAATGGAGAAAGTTGAAATCAGAGCCGTCATTAAGTACCTCTGTAAGAAAGGGATGTCCCCCAAGGAAATTCATGAAGACTTCCTAGATACACTTTGGACGGAGTCCCCTTCCCATAGCACTGCGAAAAAATGGGCTGCTGAATTTAAGAGGGGCAGGGAGAGCATTGGAGATGATGAGCGGCCTGGGCGGCCAAAAGAGGCCACCAACGATGAAACTGCCGAAACTGTGCACGATCTGGTCATGTACGACAGAAGGCGAGACCTGCAAAGCATTGCTAGGGGAGTGGGACTATACATTTTGGTTCAGCTCAGGCAATTCTGACAGATATCTATGGCACGTCAAAGGTTTCCGCTAGTAGGTCCCAAGACAGTTGACTGACGACCAGAAACGTATTAGGCTTGCCATTTCAAGATATCTTTTGTCTCGCTACGAGGATGAACCTGATTTTATCTACCGGATCGTAACTCGGATGAAACATGGATCCAGAATCCAAAAAACAGAGCAAACAGTGGAAGCACCCTGACTCACCTATCCGAAGAAATTCAAGAGGATGCCATCAGCAGGGAACATAATGGCTTCATTTTTTTTGGAAAATAAGGGAATAATCATGATTGACTATCTTGAGCAAGGTCGTACCTTAAACGGTTCGTACTATGCAGACGAATTGAGACGTCTGCGTCAAGAAATCGCGCGTAAAAGGAGGGGCCAACTGAGTCAAGGCGTTCTGCTCCTGCACAACTATGTGCAGGACCCCTCTAACTTCTACCTCTTTCCGAAACTGAAAACCAAGCTTCGTGGTAGACGTTTTGGAAGCAATGAAGGTGCCACGGAGGCGGTCAATGAGTTCTTTGAGGACCAAATAGAGAGTTATATTTTGAAGGGTTAAATAAGCTGGAGCAAAATTTGGCAAAGCGCATTGATGTAGAGGGCGATTTTATTGAAAAGTAAGACCATTAGTTGGGTTCTCTGACTACTAAATGTACATCGGGCCAATAACTTTAAGACCAATCCTCGTAAGTTTTTTATGTCCATTATCTATTTTCGTGTAATTTATTTTATGTCTATTATCTTCATAAGTGTAAGTTCTGTTCTATTATCTTATTTTGTGTAATGTATGTATGTATGAATGTTATGCCTATAATCTTCTTTCGAGTTAGTTATTTATGTCAATTATCTTCTGTGGTATAAGTTTCTTGTGTCATGTAAACTGTAAACTTTGTATCTCAATTTCATTTTCTTTCGTTTACATTATACATATCTTTTTATTCTCGACATATTTACTATAAAATGTTTACTGTGTTATTTCTAGTTACATTTTTCATGTTATCTTTTTCATACATTATATCTTCCTCACACACAATTACTACTTATGTTGGTTATGTTAATTTTATAATATCTTTTTTCTCTTCAGAGGAGGATTATGATATTATTTATATAAATATAATTAGTGTATTATTTGTTGTATTTTTATATACGTATTAGTACAATTGCAATATATGCTGTGTTATTTTAAGGGTCAAATTATAAAAAGCTATATTTTGACCGGCTTTTAAGTATTTATCACCATATTTCTGCTGCGTGACTAACACAGTAAGAGCTGTTTAAGCATATTTTGACATGTATTTGGTAATTTACATAGATTTTAATTGATGTTTGTTCACTTGAAAAATATTCTACATTTTACATTTTAATTTTTTTTCTAGAATATTAAAATGAATCATGCGGCAATGCTGCTTTTAACAACATTGCATTGCTGTAATTATAAGATAAGCAGACACGTTCCTAAGACAACATGCTAATAAGAAATTGGGAGGCATTTTATTTTGGCAAGGAAATATCGTGTTTAATTAAGTCATTAGCGTTGAACCGGTTAAAACAAGCCTCACTATGTTTTATGAAAGCTATTACCTACGTGTAACAGCGCTGTCTTCAAATTGCACATATTTCTCTTCAAATAGCATTTTGTTATTGTAACAAGAAAGCATACATAGCACAGAAAACAACATAACAATAAAGCGCACTGAATGTTTTCAATAATTGGCAGTCTTATCCTTCCGTTTTGTTACACAGCTTGCTCTTGGCGTAATAATTCTACAATTATAAAAGGGTTTCCAGACATTCGTTGGGATCAGACTTGTGGTTTCGGTTACGCCCCCAATGCCCAAATGCCTCAAACATTTATGGCCACAACGATCGATCTACCTGATTTTTCGTCACCATATAACAGGTAGATATTAACACTTATTTAGAATTTAATACTTTTACTAGAATATTCAAAACCCTCACTTATGAAATTTAAAGAAGACGATATTTGCATTTTTGAAAAAAAATATAAAAATAAAAAATTAAAACACCTCAACAATTTACGAAATAGTAAAAAAGATATAATAAAAAGACATGTGTTGTATACATTCAATTCTTCTAAGCAATACATCTGGTAGACATGATTATGTTTTATGGTTCACAAAATAGCCTCGTGTTTATGTGCTTATGTTTAAACAGCATCCATCAATAATGGAATGCAAAACAAAACAAATAATTGTGGTCTCTACTTTAAGTGTTTTCAGTTTAGTGTTTTTTGTTATAATATTATTCTGAGCAAGATTTTTTTATTGAAGGTGTTGTATTGTCGCTTTAGACCAATTGATTGATTAAAATGTTTATTGCAGCTTTTGACTTACTCCCACCAGAATCCCTTTATATCTTTTACATTTTAAATGCTTTTTATTTACAGTCGGGAACCCCTTTTGATTTTATTGCGAGTTTACATTTTTATTTACCGCCGGCAAGTTCTTTATCATGTTTTCAGTCTTTATGCTTTTTCATTCACCGTCACTCTTCCTTTTATTACATGCTTAAATGCTTTTAATTACAGTCAAATCCCTTTCGATCGTATGACAGTTTTAAACGCTTTTAATGTTACTGTAGACAAATCCCTTTTGGATTTTATAAGTCTCTTTTTATGCTTTTACAGTCTAAAAACGCCTTTTATTTATTGTCGACAAATCGCTTTTCTTTTTTTCCACAGTTTTTCTTTCGGCAAAAAGAACTTATGATAATTTGTGATTTATTGTCACATATATCACATTTGTTAAATTGCAGCATACATCCAAGAGATAAACAAGATGTGGCTTCTCGCCTTGTTTTGTCGGCTCTTCAGGTAGCTTATAATATCAAAACAATGGGTAGATTTGTTGGACCAATGATCTCAGCTTTCAGTGTCGACCTTATTACTAACAGAATGACTTTAGATTTCGACAACGGTACCGATCCTATACGAGTTAAATCTATGGACGGATTTGAGGTAAGATGTAAAGCTTGAAAAACATTGGAGTGACTTTTTCTTACTACATTGTAGTATTTTCCGTATTAAATTTAAAACATTTATATTTGTTTTCTGGTGATTTTGTTAATGTTATTCAATTTGTACTCAATGATTTTTAGATTTGCTGCTCTGTAAATAATATGTCAAAATGTGACGGAACTGATGATTCCAAATGGTTGCCATCACCGATCGTGAGTTATGACACAACAAGTGTGACAGTCGCAACATGTGATGGTATGTGGATAATGGGTATACGGTATGCCTGGAGGGAGTCACCATGTCTGTCATCTAAAATGTGTGCTGTTTATAGCGTGGAGAATGACATTCCGATGTCACCTTACATTTCAATAGGTTTAATCAACTGAAATAGTTAACTTTACATAAGTAGTATTGCTATTATGGAAACGTATGTATAAAAACATAAAGAGATTGTGTTTCTTCTGATATTTGTTTTCCATATAAGTCGTCTACGGCCGGTCTTTTAAAATGCCCAATTTAAAGTGACATTATGCCCATCCAAGGTCATATAGTGAGTGAACAGGTGAAAGTCAGTATTTTGCCTTAAATCTTTTCAATTATATAATTTACTTTGCATATATTTTGTAAATAAACTCATATGGCCCAGAGAAAGTTCTGTAGATATACTTTTGAATTACCTGTTACATTCAATTTATAAAAAGAGTGGGGCAGTTTTTTTATATTTAAGGCAGATTTACACTTGATTTTAAACCTATGTGGCCGCTCTTGCCTTAAATAATACACGGAGGTACACCCGAGATCTTTCCCACTGGGAAAGTCCAGATATGGCCTTTACTTTGTCGTGGTGACTTTAAACCCAACAAAAAGAAACAGTAACAATAGTAAAATCCTCTGAAATATTTAATTTGTAAATCAAATTACAACAAACATGGTAGTTTTGTTCTGTTAGTCGAAATAACTGAACGTTTGCTCAAATATCGTTCAATTTCAGACGCACTGGTTATTGTTATTAAATTTACTTAAATAATAAAACATTGTTTTTTTTCCAGAGATAAAAATATCCATTCAAAATAAATACGCATGAAATAATCATACTAGTAGCATACTACGTAAAATAATAACTCATTTTTGTAATTATCTTTACTATCAAAAAGAGGAATATGAACGGCAGGAAATTAGTTAGTTTTGTACACTCATTGTTGCGTATTAATTTTAAGTGAATGTGAAAATCAAGATGAAGTTTATTCAAACAATAACGTAAAACTGTTATTCAGACACATAGCCCAAGAGACACATAACCCAATATATGAATACTAGTGAAGTGCGTTCAGAATGTACTCTGCTTACATACTGACATTAAACTTCATTTGTTTATCTATCTCTTAAATTAAAAATTTCATTGAATTATAAAACAAATGTGTTGGAAAAAGTGTTAACATCACGGATATGTTCTCAGATATATATCTGAAATACAGTTACTTGAACGCAAAAATAAAAATCGGAATTTTATGGATATCTATTTTCAACAAACGGGATGTTAATTTCATGCTGTTCGAACTTTTTTTAAAAATAGTACATATTTTTAAGCTTTTTACTTGGTAATGTTCTTTCTTTATTTTTTTTCACTTATTGAAAATGCAAATTACTGGCAAAAAGAGTTAAGGCAAAATGAAAAAAAAAAAGTTTTAAAATTCAAATTTTTTTTGTGTCTAAAATTTTTTTTTCTTAACATGTGCAAATTTAATTCTTTTTATTTCGGGGTCATGGGTTTCCCTTTTTGATTTGTCGTTTATTCCAAAAATTTAAATATTTTTTTATCAGCAACATGTCGTATATATATTTTAGCAGATCAATAATCTGTCATTTGTATAACACGTTTCCGCTCCAAAACGTCACATTTACAAACAAAAGGACCATGACCATTTATATTTTGTAATGACAAAAATAAATTACATTGATGATTTTATACATGGTAAACCTGATACCAATATTATATAGTAAGTGTTTCCAAGTGTCCAAACTGTAAGTCCAATCACGATAAACAGAACTTTCGTCATGTCTAAAAATGGAAGCACAGTCCATGAAAAGATAAACATAGGTAAACTACTGGTGATTAACCAAAGTATTTCCATTAAAGATATAGAGATAGTATTTGAAGACAATATAACTTCGACTGACAATATAGCGTATTAAGTTAAGCCAAATGAAATTACTTGTGGGTTCGAAACCTCTTGGAACTTTTTCCTTTTCTTTTTATTCCAGATTAACTTTAAAACCATAAATATCAGTTTGACAATGTACACATATGAATATATAACTTAATAACTCAAAGACAAAATGACGCAGCTTAATACAAGTCAAAGTAAAGAACGCGAATATCCCGTGCATAAAATATTTCACATATACATGTATATAACTGGACTAAAGTTTAGTTATAGTCTCTGCTTCAATACTTGTCAGACAACATGTTGAAAAATTTTGAGCCTCGACAAATTACAAAAAACGTTTTAAATTTTTTTTTGGCGACAGAAAGATACGGGAGAGTTGACGATTCCTCTAACTGCGCCATACGACAGAACTGCAGATGCCTGCGGAATCAGCGTCTCCACTGTCAGACGTTGTGTCACTGCAGGACCACAGCTGCCCAAGAAAACCCGTACAGATGTATTGATGTTTGACAGTTTCCAGCTCTGTGCCATCCGTCGCTCTGTATATACCATGTACAGTTCAAAAAAGTTGCTTCCAACCCCGAGTAACATTGGTAAGGAGCTCGAGACATCAATGAATATAAGCATTTCGAAAACACAGCTTCGTAAGGTTCTGAAGTCTCCAGACTTCCGCTATAGATGAAGCAACAGTAACAGGAAGCTGATTATTGAGAGAACAGATGTCACAATACAACGCATCCGCTATCTGTCGGCAATGAAAAAGTTCCGAGATGAAGGACGACCAATCGTATTTGTTGATGAAACATACATACATTCATCTCACTCCATCCTGAAATGTTGGCAGGATAAAACCACTGGGCTATCAGTACCATTTGGAAAAGGCGACAGAATCATCAAACTGTACGCTGGTGGCAAAAACGGTTTTGTACCCGGCTCTCGTTTAGTTTTAAGGCCAAGTCATCTACTGGCGACTACCATTCACAGATGAATGGTGAAAACTTCCAGAAAGTGGCTCCGGGAAATGTTAATTCCTAAGCTTCAGCCACATACTGTTGTGGTCCTTGACAACGCTGGATATCATAATATTCAGGTTAAAACATGAACATTGTTGTTTTCTTAAGCATTTTATAATGTCACTTTTACATATAATTCTACATTCTACGTAATTACATTTTATACAAGCAAGAAAGATTTCTATAAGATAACTTTCAAGTTAAAGAGTGTAATATCGTTTTAGTTATCAATAAAGTAAATGCCTGTACAATAAGTATTTCTTATTTATCTTTCAGATTGACAGATATCGCATATCTTCTACAAGGAAGGCTGATATACAAGCGTGGTTACGCCAGCATAACATTTCTTTTTCAGAAGAACTAGGTAGAATTGTTAGCATTATGCAAGCAACAGCAGGTGAAACCAACATATGCTGTGGATGAGATGTTAAGGGTTTATGGACATAGCTCTATCCGACTGCCGCCATACCATACAGAGATTAACCCGATTGAACTCATATAGTCACAGCTCAAAGGATATGTTGGTCGGAAGAACTTGAACTTTCGGTTATCAGATGTACAAGACCTTGTTACCGAAGCTGAAGCATCCATTACATCTGAGCATTGGGCCGAGTGCTGTAGCCATGTGGAAAATATAGTACTAAGCAGAGTATTGGAAAAGTGAAAACATCCAAGACGAATTAGACCCTGTAGTCATTTCATTTTTCGACGATAGCAGCAGCAGTGATAACAGTGACGATGAAACCGACACAGCCTCAGAAACCGGAGAAACAACAGATACGGCAGATGAAATTTGAAATGTTGTATTTATTTATCTACTGCATATCTTGAAATACATTTCTATGAAGAAAAAAAAAGATTAGACAATTGAAGATACTTCGCTTGAAAGTAAAATAATTATAAAAAACGAAAACAAAAAATATATAAATCAAATTTAAATAATCACATTCATTTTACTATTTATAAATGGTGAGAAAAAACACAAACCTCGATAAAAAATTTTACCCATAAGAGCTTGTCAGTCTTGTGTCATAAAACATTTTGAGATTGTAGTGCTCTAACGATTGAGTTATTGCGGCAACTACTACACACTATAACTATTATCAATATATTGGTTAATCAATCTGGAGTGCAACCTTTCATTTACCTTTTTGCTTCAAAATAGACTGTTCCATACTATTAATGAACATGACGAAAGTTCTCTTTATCGTGCTGGGATTTTTTTATAGCTGTATATACAGTGTACATTACAAGGTCAAATTTAGGTCATGTACACCCAAGTTCAATTCTGTATCTAAAACAACCTTTTTGACTAATTTCCAAGATATTTGAGCTGGAAATGTTATCCAGAGTGGCTGAACATATTACATGCCTCTAGAGTGTTAACACATCTTTTTGATATTAAGGCTTAACACATAAACCTTTTAAAATAATATTCAGCATATTTGGATTGAAAATGTTTCCTCTTGAGTGTTACTAGGTTTTCCATATTTGGAAACTGTGATCTACTTTTAACACAGATAACCCGAATTTATTTGTCGAAGTAATTACTGTGCTGAACAAATTCCTGACAATCGAGGCAACAAGAATGTTCACCAACTAAGTGTAGAAAGTTTGACGGACGACGGAAATAGCTTCTACACAGAATATGATTTGAGAGAATTACCCGGATATTTTTAATTCTAAGACTGAAGATATTTTTGTTACAAAATGTATCATCATAATAGATGAAAGTCGGTATGATCCAACATAAATACCCTCACCCCTGATTCCAAACAGAAGATGATGAAGCCATGTCTAAGACTTTATATGTTTCAGTACGTTCTCATTAGTCTTCCATGGGGTATGAATATCTTTCCAATGAAGACAGCGTTAAATTGATACAAACATGTAGTTACCTATAGTTTAAAGATATCCAGACTTTAGAAACGTCAAGGTTTATAAAAAACAAATAAACTTTATGATAAAAGGCACAATTGTCATCTTTATTTTGAGTAGTTTCTAGTGTTATAACCATTGCCCATTTATTCAAAATAATAAATCATTTCAGAATCTAAAAAGATGGTATGTTAAACAAAATATTCTCAAATACATATTCTTTTAGATATTGAAAGAGGTTTTACATTTATGACATTCCTAAAATTATTATAAAATTGTGTTTCTATATGAATATAACAAAAATATATACAGACTATTATGACAATATACATTTTAAACAATAGGAGAGTTTGATCGCTCATATTGTTCAAATGTTCTTGCCTGGAACCATAATTCAAACACATCT